TAGAATCAATATTTTCAACAGTCTCCAGGTAATCAAGAAATGCATTTAGAATTGAAGATCACTATATTAAAAAGATTGTGAGATGAGCTGATTAGTTCCATTGGGCAGCTTTTATTGCTTAGCTAAGGATTTGAACCTGATAACACAGTGGTGTATTAATTGAACAAATATTTACACAACCTCTGCTATGTACCAGATGCAGACTGTGCCAAGGGGTTAGGGATACAGGGATGTCTTGGGCTGCCTTTAGTACCAGGGAGCCATCTTTGTTTTTGACTAGAAGCTTGACATGATGAGGGCCAGGAAGATTAATGTAGGAATAGTCTCCAGGGTGTTTTGGGAAGAGAAGAACTGAAGGCGGGGAGGCTGCAGCCTTTGCAATCGGCTGCGCAGAGCTACCTCTGCAGAGATAACATTCTGAGGGTAGCTGGTATGGGGTGTGCATTGACATGAGGCTTCTTGCCAAGCCCCAGGGACTGCTGGGGAGCATGTGGGGCTTCGGTGAGCACTGACTTCACTCCAGGAGAGCAAGAAACAGTGTGGCTCTTGCATTTTTCAGTTCTGTAAGCACATCACCCTTTTCTCCTCCCTCTGAGCTGTGTTCTCTGACAGCTGTTTGTTGGAAAAGCCAGCAGCCCCAAAAGCACGCCCCAGCTGAGGCTCCTCTGCTTTCCCTCACCGCTGCTCCTGCACGCCTCATTTGCTAGGCCACTTTACTGGTGGAACCATTAGAGACTGAGTGACTTAAAGGAGATTGAGTCTGTCTCCACCCGGAGAGAGAGCAGGATGGATGGATGCATCATCTCCTTTAGAAAGCTTTGGCTCGGACGTCCCCTTCCCACAGCGCACTTGCAGGGCAGGCGCCACTTCCAGTTTAGGCTCTCTCTGCTGACGTTTGAGCAGGGCAAGGAGCATCGCTTTTTCTACCCTAGCTAGTCTGGGTCTGACCAGAGGCACTGTATGCCCATGCATGATTATTAACTCAGAGTAGGGTGTAGTCAGGTACTGGCTGGCTGGCTGTTGTTCTGCTGACCGTGTGCTTTTTGTTTTCTTCCTTAGGGTCCGAAGCAGTACCCCTATAATAATCTGTACCTGGAACGAGGCGGTGATCCCACCAAAGAACCCGTGCCTGTGGTTCACTATGAGATCTGAGGAGGCGTCATGGGCCTGTGTACCCTCTAACTAGGTCCCCCTCACTCCTAGAGGCTTAACCTTAATGAAATCCCTAATAAAACTCAGTGCTGTGGTGTCTGTGCCTCATTTCTCCAGGAATAGTCACTGCTGTGAGGAGCCTTATCTTCATCCTTTCCTTTACCTGCTGCCTGCCTGCATTCCTGTTTTCCTGCTCTGAAATTGGAAGGGTGGGAGGGAAGGTTAGGAAATAAGCATAAGAAGATACTGGGTCTTTTCATTGCCACTGTGTAAGTGGTTGAGGGCTGCAGTTGCACAGCAGGTAATAAAGGGTCAGTCCTTTTCCCATTTACATGACGAAAAAGGAAGGTGTTTGTTTCCTTTAAAAACCATTTTTGTGGAGCACATCTATTATCCTATCATGCAGGAAGCTGAGGCAAGAGGGTTGCTAGTTTGAGACCAGCCTGGGCTACATAGGCTATAAAAATCAAAACAACCTGAGACTTAATAATTGTTAGATTGAAAAGATGTGTGCCTCTAACCCAGCATTTGGGAGCCTGAGGCAGGAATGTCTCCATGGGTTCAGGAATAGTCTAGGCTATGTAGTGCGTTTGAGGCTACCTTGAACTATGTAGTAATACTGTTTTTAAAACATTTATTTAAACTTTTCATTACTTAGAGAATATTAGTTTTTGTAATCAAACACGTAGATAAGACCTTACATATTTAATACAGTGTGTTACCCCTGTGCAGGTGGAAAAAAAAATTAAGTTCAACAATAGGTCTTAAAAGTAACGTGTTTTATCAAGTGATGGAATAGTGGGGGAGCTCTGGTCTAGAGCTGTGACATTTCTGCGTTCCTCTTTTCAAGGCAAGTTTTCTGAAACAGCTTCTGAGTAAGTTAACATTGTTTATATTTGTGAATTAAGGCATGCATCCAAGCTCCTGTAACAGCCTTAGAGAAAAGGAAGCCATGTTTTTGAGAGTATCATAAACCATCTTTCTAAAGCATACTGGTCACATGGCTTTAATCCTAACAGGAGGCAGGAGCAGGCAGATCTGAGTTCTAAACCAGCTAGTTAGAGGACGTCCCAAGAAGCTGCGGTGGGGACGATAGCGCTGGCTGATCTTCCAGAGGACCTGGCTTGGTTCCCAGCACCCACATGGAGGCTCACAGCCTTCTGTAATTTAGTCCCAGCCTATCTGGCACCATCTTCTGGCCTCCGAGGACACTGCAGGTGGTGCTCAGACATTCAGGCAAATACTCAAGTTGTTTTTGGTTTTTTAAAGCGGTTAGGTGTGGCGGCACACAGTTTTAATTCCAACACATAGGGGCAGGTGGGTCTCTGAGCTGCAGGCCAACAACTTGATCTGCAGGCCGAGAGGGAGACTGAGGCTGACTGGGCCTGGCATGGGCTTTTGGAACCTCAAACCCCACCCCTATTGACCTACCTAATTCTTCTAATCCCTTCAAAGAGTTCATTCACATTTATGCACCTATGAGAGCCAGTCTTAGTCAACCACCACACCATTCAAATTAGATGTGACAAATTAGTGGTTGTCCGGGGAGTTAAAAAGAATCTTGTGAAATTAGGGACTGCTTCTTTTTTTAAAATGTCACTTTTTGAAGAATTCTATGATTGAGGGTTGCTGAACTGGCTCCGTGGGTAAAGGTTCAAGTCTGACAACCTGAGTTCAATCTTTAGGCCCTACAAGTTGTCCATTGACCTTCATATAGTGCACATGTGTAGATACTTTTCTTTAATCATCTTATTTTTTAAATTTTCATTTATAATAAGCTTTATCCACCAAAAAAAAAAAAAAAAAAAAAAAAAAGGAAAAAAAAAAATTAAAACTAAATTAAAAATTAAAAAAAAAAAAAGGCAAGTTTATTAGGGGTAGCCCTTGGGGCTGGTTCACCAATATCAAGAAATAGGGCAGGAAAAATGCCATGCAGACAGGGAGATGGGGTGGGGAGGGAGCGCACATATAGAAATGGAGGGAGAGAGTGCAACATATCTGTATTATATAGGGAAGAGCCTCTGGGGGAGGGTAAGTCCAGGCCCTGGGCTGGAAAAGTTCAGGGCAGGGGGTGGAGTATACCAGCTACACCTTGCAACAGGTAGGTACTGAGGGATGCTGGGAGAACCACCATGTTAAATAGATACCTCAGCAGCTCGTGCAGGGTCTGAAACCCAACAATCTATCTCTATGTATATGATTTGTTTGAATGCGTATGGCTGTGTACCACCAGAAAATGGTGTTGGATGCTTTAGGACTGGGGTTGGTTAGGCAGTTGGAAGCTGCAATGTGGGTACGTGGACTCCAACTTTATGACTTTAGTTCAGATTTCTTTTGTAGTAATCCATCAACGTGCGTGATACTTCTGCTTTATTCTCTAATCTTAAGGTATTGGCCAAGGTTCATCTTGTGTGTGTGAGAGAGACAGAGACAAAGACAGAGAGACAGGGTCTCATGGAGCCCTGGGGGGCCTTGAACTTTCCGTGTAGTTAAAGATAGCCTTGAAATTGTGAGCCTCCTGTCCCCACCATCTGAGTACTGGGATTACAAGGTAGCCACCACCATGACTGGTTTGTTTATGTGGTACTGGGAAATAAAACCGGGGTTTCAAGCACATAGGGCAAGCACTCTTCCAGCCAATCCACACCTCCAGCTCCTAAGGTCACTGACCTTGATTACTCTCTCGCTCCACTGTTTTTGCGCTAGGACAGTGTGTGTGTGTGTGTGTGTGTGTGTGTGTGTGTGTGTGTGTGTGTCTGTGTGAAATGTTTAGTGTGCAGCAAGAATGGTCCTGGCGCAGAGCGCCACACATGGGTTTCTGTCTGACCTCAGCGTTGCGGTGTCCATCATCAGATAACGGACATCAGTTTCAGAGGCAACTCAGGTGGGGATTACCGTACAATTCATGCATCAAGTGGCACTTTTGAATCCACTGAGTCGGTTATCTTCACCTGCCACCCTAACCCTCAACTTGGAAAGTGTGCTTGGAAAATGATATTTTCACACTCTTTCCTCTTCCTCACGGTTTCTAGCTCTGTGAACAGCGCCACTGGTCTCCCTGGCTCTCAAGCCTTGGCAGTCCTGAATCCTTGTCTTTGCCAGTCAGGAGAGCCGGTGCAGCTCTCTTTCAGTCCAGGCTTTCTACACTGTTCTCTGGGCTGTTCTAGCCTCTTGTAATTGGGTCCTTGCCTTCAGCAATTCTTTCTCCAAGGAGATCCACACTGCTAGATACAAAATACAATCGTCACTAGTGCCTCTGGCCGACTTTTTTTCTACTGTTAACCGTTTTCTCCCAATCTCTTTGATTTACGGTGTGGGAAAAGACAGGGTGCCTGTTAGCTACTTTGACCCCCTTTGCTGAACTATTACCTAGTGTTCTTTCAGCTCCAAAAGGGAATACGTGTGTCATGTGCCCGAAGTCTTCCATGGAGCCCCTGATTCACACACAGCCCTTAATCAGTTAATGGTACTGCTACTGGTGGGCTCCAGTATGTATCACTACTATTTATAGTCTCAATTTCTTTTTACCTTTTTAGCTAAATGGACCACACTGAGAGCTCATGGGTTGAGGGCTTTAATAACGACATAATAAGTTGAATTTGTGTTTTCCCTCTCCACACACAGGCTATTCGTGGAGCCTGGCTCAAATAGAGTAGACTAGAATTTACTGGATCGGGGCGCCAGAACGGTGCAATCAGAAGCAAAAGAAGCAGGCCCTGCTGGGAAACCTATGCGCTGTCGGTGAGGACTGGCGTTGCGGAGCTCTGCTGAGCTAGCAGAGGGAGCGGGTCGCGGGTCGTGGCCAGGGCAAGTTTACTTTTTGGCCCTAGGCAGCCGCCGTCCGCAGCGCCCTAAAGCCCTTGGCCGGGACAGGACCCGCTCAGGCAGTCGCGGGTGACCCCTGACCCGGGCGCTCGGTACAGGTGGGTTTCCCCAGCGGCTCTTAGGTCCTGGAGCGCCGCTCCTCCCGCGGGAGGGAGCCGGGGGGCTAGCCAGCCGCCGAGACCCCGGCCGGTCGCCGCACCTCGGAAGCCCCCGTGCGAACCCCTCCGGCTGGGCCGGGTCCCGCTCCCCGTGCCGCGCGGGGCCCCCAGCTCCGCCAAGGTGCAGAAGCGCTGCGCGCCCTCTCCTCCGCCCCAGGCCCCGACTTGGCCCGGCCCTGGGCCCGCACCCAATCCCTGCTCCTGGCCATTTGTAACTGGTGCCTCGTACTGCGAGAAGCTGTGTTGACCTTCTCCCAAGGGACTGGACTGCCAAGGGTAGCTGGCGCCCTGGTCGTGGTTCCCTGAGCCTATCTCACCCCTCCACTGCCACGGCCGTCCCGACCCCAGTGCGGTCCCGCCTCAGAGCGAGGCGGATGAAAAGCGCATTCCCCCCGTTCTTTCAGCCAATGGTTTAAGCACGTGGTGAAACTTTTGCTTAAATTAATATGATGGTTAAAAGCATGGCGTTTGCATTGCGGCTTAGCCGGCTGTTTTCTGCGCGAAACGGGGTTAACAGTTTATAGACCTCTTGAGAGAAACTATGGAGTTGTGCCTGTCAAACGCGCTGTTGGCGGTGATCACCGCGCTTCTGTATCAGGTGGTTCTGACCAGCAGGTGGCACTGGTGACGCAGGAGTATACTTTGCTTTAAGACTTTAGAAGCTCCCAGAAAGAGCTGAACTGCCGGCTGTAAGCTTTCCTCAAGCTGGAAACTGCAGCAGAGATTAAGTAATATTATCTTCTGTTTTTGTATGTGAGACTGACCTCACCGGCTTGCTCAAGCAGTTGACAGTAGGTTCGAAGTTCCTTCCTTTCCCATTCTGCCCTTTTGATAGGTTGTGAGGATGGGACCTCGAATGTGCATTAAAAATAGAAATCACAGAGTTAAATGAATGCAGTGTGGTGGTTCACACCTGTAATCCCAACACTTGGGTATTAGAGACAGGAGGATCAACATCTCAAGGTCATTCTCAGTTACACAGCAAGTTTGAGGCCAGTCTGGGCTACATGAGACCTTACCCCATCTCTACTCACAAGGAAAGAAACAAGGTCTGGAAAGATGGCTCTGTGGTAAGAGCAGCAGCATAATGCTCTTGCAGAATATTGGGGGTGGGGGAGGTGTTCCCAACACTTACATGGTAGCTCAAAACTGTCTGTAACTCCAGTTCCAGGGGCTCCAACATGCTCTTTCCACCTCTGAAGATATCAGGCACCCATGTGATACACAGACATCCATGCAAGCAAAACACTCATACACACAAAATAAAAATAAATTTTTAAAAGATGAAACAAAACAAAAAGTAAAATGAATATTAGCATCCATCCATTCATTCATCAGATACCAAGCACTTACTCTGTACTGTCCTAGGCTACAGCATAGCCATGAGGTTGGATTTTATGAAGCTTACATGTTAGTGGAAAGGACTGACAATATGAGTGTAAATAAATAAATAGTTAGGAAGGAAACAAGTGAGACTGTTTTTGGTGGCGATGGTAGATACTCACCCAGAAAGACTTGATGAAGCGCTAGCCATGCAGAGGGTGAAGGGAAAGGCATGTAGTATATGGGAAGTGGTATTTGCAAAGGCTCAGGTGTAGGCAGAAGCCAGGAGAAGAAAGATGGCTTGTGTGGCTGAGTACAGTGCCTAAGAGGAAAACCGGTGGGATGGAGAGGTGACGCTGAAGCCTGAGTTTATTCTCCATGTGATGGGTCACCGGCTCCATGTATGCAACGCCAATAGCCTTTTTCTTTTTTTTTAAGTTCAGTGATTCTTTGGTGTGGAAAATGAATTCGATGGTGGCAGGAGTAGCAAGGAGAGTTATCAGTTGGGGATCCTACTAGCTTTATGATCAGTAGTAATACAGGTGGGAGATGACAGTACCTTCAGATAGGCTGGTGGCCGTGCATGTGGGAAAGAGGACATTAAAATCAGGAAGATGAAATGATAGCGAGATCAAGGTGACTTCAGGTTTCTGGGCTGAGAGATTGGTTGGGTTGAAATACTGTTTACCAGGAAGAGGAGAGCTGAATGAAGAAGAGTACAGGGAAGAGATGGTAGACTAGAAAGTTCTGTGCAGATAGTTCACCTCGGTATCTTTGCTATATCTGTGAATATATATATATATATATATATACACATACATATATAAACACCTTAAAATTTACCTTTATTTTATGTGCATGGTGTTTTGCCTGCATGTATGCCTATGTGAGAGTATCAGATCTTGGGGTTACAGACAATTGTGAGCTGCCATGTGGGTGCTGGGATTTGAATATATATATTAAGATCAGGTCTTACATTGTATGTCACCCAGGCTGGCCCAAGCTTGTGATCCTAATGCCTCAATCCTCTTGAGTGATAGGATTATAGACCCACATCACAAGTAGAAATAGTTAATTAGAAATTTCATATAGAGATTGGTGCTCAGAGGAAAGATGTGTCAATGATATAAATCAGGGTTTGTTGGCACATATACAATATTGAAAGCCAAGGAAATCAGGCAAAGTCACTGAGAAATTAGGTAGTTTGATGGTTATTATCGTTAGACCTGTAGGAACCAATGTGATTAAATACCTGGGGAGTTTAGATAATTCAGTTTTAGCAACTGTGTAAGCGAACTGTTCTTAACTCCCCAGATGATCTTGTTTTTTCTCATTCTGTATTTTGCTGGAATACTTCATCTCATGGAGAAGAGAGACAATCTCTATGTCCACAGATGCTCCCTGGGTCTCTGGCCCTAGGATTTTTAATTTCTGTTTTCAGTGGTTCAAAGGCCATATATGTTTTCTGCAACCTACAGGGCAGACCATGAAGGTGAAGGAACTTGAGAAGCCAGCTGTCCAAGCATGGAGTCCAGCCAGCCAGTACCCTGTGTATCTGGCCACAGGTATGATGACACTATGTATTAGGAGCTACTGGAAGTCATATGTCAAAGGGAAACAGTATCTAGAACACTTTAGTGACCATGAGAGACAGATGTAGGATTGTGTCAGGGTGGGTACCTTGTAACAGCCTTGGACTATAGCTGAAGGGTGGCAGCTTATGCTTTCTTGAGGTTGCCTGTTGAGGAAGGATACTCCTAACTCTCTCCTGTTCTGAACCTCCCCCCCAACTCCCTAACCGATTAACATCCTAATTCATGCATTTTTGTTACTCATTTGCTGCCTTTTCTTTCCTTTTCTTGTGGCTAGGAACATCTGCTCAGCAACTAGATGCCTCTTTTAACACAAATGCCACATTGGAAATATTTGAGGTTGATTTCAGGGACCCTTCTCTGGACTTGAAACACAAAGGAATTCTTTCTGTCTCGAGCAGGTACTATGTTGGGACTATGAGTGGGTATTCGGGTCAGACCCTGATGAATATACTGACAGGGTCCTGGGGGTGGTGTGCACAACTCAGGGATCATGAGGCGATAAGCACAGGGAATAGGAGTTTTGTTAAGTTTCAGAGGAGGTAATTCTGGGCAAAAGGATTTGAAAGCCAGTCAGTTTCACCTTACTAGTCAGCAGCAGCCACTAGCGTGCAGGTGACAGAAGACCTTGTACAAGCCAAGACAACGTGTACCAACTCTCACCTTGAACTCACAGGTATTGACTCCTTCCTCCCTTAGCTTCTGTTAAGGCAGCAAACTTATACAACATCATACTCTTCGGCCAACAAGGAGGAGAATGAGATCTCTCCTCACAGATCTGAGATGCCGACTGGGCACAGACTTCATGGCTCTGGCAAGCTGGGTGCTCATGGATTTCTTGGGTATATTGTGAAACAGCAATGAAAAGAGGATAATTCTCTTCTTTGGTGTCAGAAATGTCTACGAAAAGTCCTCGAGAGCTTGATAGGCAAGGCACTATCATTGGGACCCTGTGTTTTTGCTCATTCCTTAGAATAAACCTAAATTATAAATGCCATTATTTCCATTTTACATGGATAATGATGGAAGCCCTAAGAAGCTGGGCTTGGAATTTAAGCCTGTTTCTATCTGAGTGCAAAGTGTACTTCTTTCTATTATTTTACAGCTTTTGTTTTTTAGACAAAGTCTTGCTAAGGCTGGCTTTGAAACTCACAATCCTCCCAACTCGACCACCTGTGTAGCTGGCACAGGTGTGAGCCACTCTACCTGGCTCTCCATTGCCTTTTCAAGGGTTTTCTGAAGACGGTGCTTATAATCTCATACAGTAGTCTGTAAGTTTTTGTACCATCAGAAAAAAAAATGGGCTATTCATTTCTGTCCACTTCATATTTAATATAAGCAGCATATGTATTACCATACTACTGGTATCTGTGTCTATAGACATATAAAGTACGTAAATGTTTTTCTTATAGCTCAGGAAGTTTTCTTGCCCACCCCAATCTAGAGATTTTTGGTTTCAAAGGCAGCCTTCATCTGATGATTGATGGGCCCCTGTTCTTTCTTCTGCAAGTCATCTTATGCATGCTATCCTGGAGAGCATGGTTGTGTTGGGTTGTAGCCTAGCTGTGATGCTAATTAAACTCTGTGATTTGAGTAAGTTACATTGGTTGCCTTGGGTACTCTCACCTTTGAAGAAGAGATCATGCAAGACAATTTCTAAGAACCTGCAGAGATATGCATCCAGATCTTACATTCCTCCTCGCCATGTTCTCTGTGCAAGTTTCCTTTCTTTCTCCCTTACAACTTGGGGGCTGTCAGGGTGGCTCATCAGGAAAAGGTGCTTGCTGCAAAAGCCTGGCAACTGGAGTTCAGTCTCCAGAACCTACATCAAGGTGGAAGAAACCAAATTCATAAGGTTGACCTCTGACCTCAACATGAGTGCTGTAGCTTGTGCCACACATATTCCAAGCAAAAACACACTAATAATAAAAATTAAAATAAACCCAACCCTTCTAGGAGTTTAAATAAAAATGGCTCCCAGAGGCTCCTATGGAGTGTCACTGTTAGGAGGTGTGGCCTTGTTGGAATAGGTGTGGTCTTGTTGGAGGAAGTGTGTCACTGGGGGTAGGCTTTAAGGTTTCAAATGCTCAAACTGGGCCCAGTATCACTCTCTCTTTCTGCTGCCTGTGGATCCAGATTTAGAACTCTCAGCTGCCTCTCTAGCACCATGTCTTCTTGCATGTCTCCATGCTCCCCACCATCATGATAATGGACTAAATCTCTAAATGTTGTTCTTTATAAGAGATGCTATGGTCACAATGTCTCTTCACAGTAATAAAACCCCAACTAAGACACCCCCAAGCCCTCCTCTTGTGCTTTGCTATTAACAAGGCATACTCTTTCAAAAAATCTCTTTTCCTCTGCCTACTCTTTTCTTCACATCCTCAGTCAGGTTCTAGTATACATTATGCTAGTTCCTGTCGTTTTGGACATATAACCTGATTTTTCTATTTTCTCCACTGTTTCTATCATTGACTCAGGATATAAAGGAGAAACAGAGCAATGCCTGTGTTGCCTCTCCCATGGCCCTGTCCATCTCACTGCCATCCTCCAGCCACAGCCTGCTCGCTCCCTGCTGCTTTTTAAGGAGAGTGGATTCTCCCAGCTCTTTTGCCCCAGATGTGCACAAACTCTTTTTCACTTCAGTTAACTCTTAAGAGATTGGTATTTTTCAAAAGAAATTCAGTTAAAAGAAAACAAAGTGAATGAAGATGTGAATAAGATTGGCAGGGAGTTTATGCAGCATGTATGTGTAATCATGAGCGGCTAGGTGCGGTCTCAGATGTGCTCAGCTGGGACAGCCTCCTGATGCCATAGGCTTCACTTTATTCGCATCCTCATCCCTTTCCATCTGTCAGTGACAGCCACAAGCTGGTGGCGAGGGCTGCTCCTTTCTAGGAACTTCAGCATCTCCTCTTAGAAGCCGGTTCATTGGTTCTCAGCCCTGGTTGCTTCTTTGGGACACATTTTAAAATGTCAGTTCTGGTGGTGAGTCTCTTGTCTGGATCTTCTGTTTCTTGCAGGAATTGCAAACCTGTGTATTCTTTAGATGCAGCTCCTCATAATCCTGGGAACACCTTTATCCGAGAACCCCGTGCGGTCTGATATCACCGCCTCTGTCTCCCATACAAACTTGTCTTCTTAGATCTTCTTCTTTAACGTTAACTTTCACTTCCTGTTTTCATGGTCAATGCCATCCTTCTTACTTTTAACTGTATTTCCCCTTAAAAAGATTGAGTTTTAGTTATGCGTCTCTGTGTGTGGAAGTGTACACAGGAGTGCATGGCGGTGCCTAAGGAGACCAGACATGTAGGGTGCTCCGGCTGGAGTCATGGGCAGTTATAAGCCACTTTACTTGGGTGCTGGGAATTGAACTCAGGTCCTTTGCAGTATGTGGTCTTAACCCCTGAGCCATCTCTCTAGCCCTTAGCTTTATTTTCTAAAGTTACAAATGTACAGGAAGATAATGGAAGTTCTAATGAGCGAGCAGTCACATAACTTCCACTTGAGGCCGTGGTGTAAGAGTTCCCTTCTGTGATTAACTGCCCCTGCATCCCTGTTCTCTCTGGTGCTCTCTAGCTCAGCCTCTCTAGGAGTTGGCTTCACCTCACTGACAAGGTAGTGAAAATACAGAAACACATTTGCTGCGTTCATGCTGCCTCTCTGAAGTAATTCCCCTCCTACCATATGGTGATTCCCTCTTGAAGGCTCAGGTCCTTTGACTCTATCTGTGTGCCCTGTGCTCTGACCTTATTGAAATCTCTGCCCACCTTCCCATCTCTGGTTCCTGTGTGACCTGTATTTCTCTCCCATCCCTACCCTGGTTCCTGGATGACATGACAGCCTCTTGAGTCTGTATGGACTTATTCTCCTGCCCCATGAAGGTTGGGCCACTTTAGAAAGCTGCTCGCTGTCTGGTGGTGGCCGCAGAGCCACTTAAGTTGTGTCACTGTCTTCAGTTGTGGGCCCCGCCTGGACTGGTGCTCAGCTTCCTGCTCTTGCCAAGTTGGCTCTGCTGGCATGCCTGGTGAACAAAATTCTCGCTCTGTCAGTTCTTGTTCACTTGCTGACTCTTCTCAGGGTGTGGAAATGTTTCATTGCACTTAGGAGTCCTGTGACACTTGATGTGAAACTGTCTCTCGTGGCTAGCCATGGTGAAAGTGAGAGACAGGACTGCGCCCCGCCAAAGCCTAATGGATTTCAGATGTTTTCCCATCGGGCTTTGCATGAGACCTCAAACTTTTGTAGGAGACTCAGGGTTTGTCTTTTTATTTTGTGCAAAACACTGGCACTGGTTTTGAGGTTTTGTTTGTTTGTTTAAGAAGTATCCTCAGAAAGCCGGAAAAGTTATTTCCCGATTGGGGTATTTAGTGTTTTGTGCCTCTGTGCCTCAAGGCTGACCCATTGTAATTACATGTCCATTCCAGTGTGGAGGTCCTAAGGTTTTGTCACTTTCCGTGTGAGATGGGACAGCAGTTGTCCTAGAGAGCGGATTCTTGTGTAGGACGGGCTCCGGAATGGGATGGCTGGACTCCAAACCGCGCCTCACTTAGCTTCGTGACGATGAACTGATGCAGTAGCTCTGTGCACAGCTCACTTTCCATACTTGGAAGTGGACATCATAGAGCTTCCTTATAGAACTTCTAAGTATTAAGCTAGCGGACACTTGTAAATCACTTAAACCGGTGTCTATTACATGACAAGTCATCAATGAATGATTGTGTATATTACATGACCAGCTAGCCATAAATGAGGCTGGCTTTTTTTTTTTCTTTTTTTTTTTTTTTGAGATGAGGTTTCACATTGGGCTATGTGAAACCTGGGCTGGCCTTGAATTTGCTTATGTATGAAGATAAGGTTGATCTTGAATTCCTCGTCCTCCTGCCTCTAATCTCTAGCTGCTGGGATAACAGGCCCATGCTTGGCCAAGTTGTAGTACTTGACACTGAGCTGTAAGGACTAAGTGATGTGCTCTATTTGAGGCAGTCCATGTGGCTCAATTTTGACTTTAAAACAAACAAACAAAACACTCCTATATAACCCAGACAGTGGCTTTCTGGATTTTAGTTTAACATAGATGAACTATTTTTCCTAAAGAAAGGACAAGACTGGGTTGAGGACTTCCCTTCTGGGTCAGGAGAATGCAGAAAACAGACAAGCAGACACAGGCTTGGCCTGGGGAAGCCTGCACAGTAGCCAGGAGAGGTTGACCAAGATGTTCATCCTCTGCAGAGTGAACATGTACCTAAGTTGGTGCTGATGCAAATTCTTTTCCTTTGTAGGTTTCACAAGCTAGTCTGGGGAAGCTTTGGCAATGGGCTGCTGGAAACCTCTGGGGTTATTGCTGGTGGCGGAGACAATGGCACGCTTTCTCTGTACAGTGTGGCCCACATCCTGTCTTCAGGAAAGGAGCCCTTGATCGCCCAGAGACAGAAGCACACAGGAGCTGTCAGAGCCCTGGACTTTAATCCTTTCCAGGTACTGTGTCTGAGCTGGTCGGCCCTGCTCAAGGCATGACACTGCGTGTCTGAAAGGAGCATTCTCTGTGGTCTCCCGGCTGTCGTGGGGGAGGCTCTGGGTCTCTCAAATGTGGGTCTCCTCCTCTCTTTTTCTGAGGTGGGAGGGAGTCTTCAGAGATATCTTTTATTCATACAGGGCAATCTCCTGGCCTCAGGAGCCGGTGATTCTGAAATCTTCATTTGGGATTTGAACAACATGACTGCTCCAATGACACCTGGATCCAAGTCACAGGTGAGGGGGCTCCCTCTGACCTGGGGCTGCCACTTAGGGTGTTTTCTCAGGTAGAATTTCGAATTCTGGAGCTAGCAGGGTTTATTTCAGGCTTTACCACTGGAGGGCAATAAAACTCCACACACAGACACACTACTAGCTACCCAAGAGTCAGGTGAGAGGGTAGGCAGAGCAGCTGGTTCGTGGTGGTTAGCAGCAAAAGAATTCCTGGAAGGAAATGAAGGGCAGGGGAATCAAAAGACACCAAGAAAGGCAAGGAGTGATGTTTCTCATAGTGGTGGGGGCAGGGCTGGGTAGGCCCTATGCTCAGTGGAAAAGGAGCAAGAGTGGAACCCTGGGCAAGCAACCATCCTTTTTGTGGGGAGGGCAGCCTTATCTCTGTGTGTGCTCTCCGGTCTGGTGTGCCTCTTTGTGAGTCTGTAGCTTGGATTATCTTTTTGCTTTTCTCTGTCTTGTGCTTTATCATGAAGTAAATGTGAGTTGGCTACACTATTCTCCCTGCTTCACTTTCTCAGGGGCTCTTTGTATCTCTTTTCTGCTCTTAGGTTTCTCCTGTTCTTCTCTGGCCTAGAAGGGAGGGGGTTATTTTTCAATCTTGACTCTACTTTTCAGGGAACTTTGGTGGGGAGCTAAAGCCAGGTGTGCCAGATGTTTACTCCCACTTCTGTACCAATACATTAAAGCCCCTTTCTGGAAGAATGTACTCCTACCTCCCGAGCCTGTGTCAGTGGGAGGAACCTCTTTGCCTCCTTTGGGCTTCCTGTGGGTGGCTGGGAGAAGTGAAGTGGTAAGTGTCACTTAATTCAGGGGATGACAGGTTGTCTCTTTTGCCATCTTGCCTCAGAAACCCCCAGAAGACATTAAAGCACTGTCTTGGAACCGCCACGTCCAGCACATCCTGTCTTCTGCTCACCCCAGTGGCAAGGCAGTTGTGTGGGATCTCAGGAAGAATGAGCCCATCATCAAAGTCAGTGAGCACAGCGGCAGGGTGAGTGGTGGCCAGAACATAGTCCTGCACGCTGGCTTCACTCTTGTGCCAAACAGCTGGAGCTGCTTCTGCCTAGGACAGAAGTCCATTCTCAAGGGTAGAAGAGTGGACTCCGGCTATGGCAGAGTCCTTGTTAGGAGCACAAACTTGGGAAGCTAACCCTCTGGCCCACATTCTTGTGGTGTTCCTTGCTTGCTCACAGGCATTGCCTACTCTCCGATGGCTGTGTTGTTGAAGACACACACTGTACCCTCGGACTAGCCTCATTCCAACTGGGCAGAGAGGGCTCACAAGCAGAGAGGGTGGGTTACCTCACCCGTTGGGATCTGCTTCGTTCACAGATGAACTGCTCGGGGCTGGCCTGGCACCCAGACATAGCCACCCAGTTAGTGCTGTGCTCAGAGGATGACAGGCTCCCGGTGATCCAGCTGTGGGACCTGCGCTTTGCTTCCTCACCCCTGAAGGCGCTGGAGAGCCACAGCAGGTAGCATCTCAAGCCTCACATACGTGGGCCTCATTTTAGCCACCAACACATTCCACGGCTTCAGTGCCATTGCAGAGAACACAGCCAGTACTAGCTGCATCTCTAACTAAGAGGAATTCCCTCGGAGCCTGGGGCCTATGGAAAAGATCTGGGATTCCATATAACTTCCAGGGATAGGGTCATGAGAAATATTTGAGCCAATTCACCCTTGTGCTAGTTTCTATCACTATAATAACTACCTGAAGTAATTAACTTATAAAGAAAAAGCTTTGTTCTCTGTTTCATGATTGATTAGTGTCCTTACTTTGGGGACTGTGAGGTGGAAGCAGATTATGGTAGGCGTGTGTAGGGAGCAAAGCCATTCACCTCATGGCCAGGAAGCAAAAGAGAACTGGGAAGAGGTCAGGATCCCTGCATCTCCTTGGGTGCCTTCCTTCAGAGACCCACAGACCTCTCACTGCTTTATTGTCCTGTCACTGGGAGGCGTCACTACTTCCCAACAGCCCTTCTCTGAGGACCAAAGCTTAACACGTGGGCTTCTGGGACACACTTAGTATCTAAAGTGCTGGGATTGAAGGCATATGCCACCTTGCCCAGCTTTAGTAAACATCACAAGTATAGACTGATGCCAGGTGCCATGGCACACGGCTGTAATTCCAGCACTCAGGGAGGCAGAGGCAGGCAGATCTCTGTGAGTTTGAGGCCATCCTGGTCTACAAAGCAAGTCCAGGACAGCCAAGGCTACACAGAAAAATCCTGTCTCAAAAAAAAGTATAGACTGTGTGTAGTGGCTTATTCCTCTAATTCTAGCACTCAGGAGGATTGCTGCGAATTCAAGGCCAGCCTGGGCTACATCATGAGGATGAGGCCAAGTCTGATTACAGATGAAATCCTGTCTCATAAAACAAAATGAACAAAACCCAAAGTATAGCAATCTCCTTGGGAGAGTCCTAGGTTCTGCTCTGAGAACAGCGTTCATTCCTCTGAGTGGGGAGCCTCCTGCAAAGCCTCTTAATAAAAGCAACTTGGCTCCTATCTGTTCAGGAAAACCTGTGCCACCTGAGCCCACCCACAGCAGAGGAAGCAGCGCCATAGGTCAACCTCAGGTGTTGTTCTTGGGAGACATCTGTCTGCTTATTGAGTTCTGTTTTTTTTATGGAGTCTTAGGCTCTCCAGTTAGGCAAGGTTGCTTAGCCAATCACCCGCAGGGATCCTGGTGATTCTGACTCCCTAGTACTGGGATTATATGCACTGCCTTGCCTTGATTACATGGGTGCTAGAGAGCAATCTCAAGTCCTCATGCCCGTACAGAAAGCACTTTACCATCCAAAGTGTCTCCCCAGCCCCCTCCTTCAGGACTTTGGAGAGTTAGGTCTTTACCAGGGGTAATCGCATCCTAGGAATGGATGTTTGTGTGATTCACGCTAAGTCACGATTCTACTGTCATTGCTTGGAGGTGGCAGGGCGGTGCAGGGCACGGTGCTCAGGCTGTGATGTGGGCTTTGGCTAGGCACCTGTCTAGCAGACACTCCCCTTTCAAAGCTTTGTTTTCTTCTATGAAAAATCAAAGTTAAATCATCCATTGTGTAAAGCTGAGCATCATCTAAGACATATAAGGTGCCTGCTTGGAGCTGGCATTCAACAAACATTGGTTCCTCTTTGTCTTTCATTTTCAGGGGGATCTTGTCAATGTCATGGAGCCAGGCTGATGCCGAACTGCTGCTGAGCAGTGCCAAAGACAACCAGATTCTTTGTTGGAATCTGGCGAGCAGTGAGGTAGGCTGGTCCTTCTGTGGGCATGCTGTAATGGAGATGTGATTGCAGGGGAATCCCTACTTCGGCATGTCCTGGACTGCTCCTCATGGTTGTGTTCTCTCACGGCAGGTGGTGTACAAGCTGCCCACACAGAACAGCTGGTGCTTCGATGTTCAGTGGTGCCCTCAGAACCCGCCTGTGTTCTCTGCTGTATCCTTCGATGGCTGGATCCGTTTGTACTCTGTGATGGGTAGGAGCTGGGAAGACCAGCACATGAGGCAGGCTGACAAGGTTTGAAGGGCTTGGTCGAGAGTGCTGGAGGGAGGAGCTTTCTGTGTCTGGGGGTTGAGAGAAGGACACATAGCTTGGGAAGAAATGGGAGCTATTGAAGAGAGGGAGGCTGGGCTGTGGGTTTCAGAGGGCTATCTTGCATCAGGACCTGGTTTCCTGGGAGGAAGTCAGTTTCTGCCACAGTAGGTAGAAAAGCATCATCTTAACTCTTGGTCACGCTGAACCTCCTTCTGGTCTGTTATTTCTATATGGCCTGGCATATCTCCCTTTCCATTGTATAGCTACTTTGGGTCATGCTCCAGTGTAGACTTTAAACAGAACTTTCTGAGGAGCTGGTACATCCAAACCTCACCTTCATTTTCAGTCTTGTCCCCATCTCCTAGACTGTGAGAGTCTGCCTCTTCTAGGTCAGCCTGGTCCTCACAAGGATTCAATCCACAGTTGAGTTTGTAGGTCGAGGTCCTCGCTGAGATGCCTCTCAACAGTGGTGACACAGGTGGCCTTTCCCTCCCTCTAGATTTGCTCTTCCTTTCACAAAGGCCAGCCTCTTCCTCTGCTGCAGGCTCCGGAGCAGATGGCCCACGCATCATTAATTCCTCCCTTGAAGAAGCCTCCCAAGTGGCTGAGAAGGCCAGCAGGCGTCTCATTTGCCGTAAGTGTTGGAAGTGTGGGTGTTTGTGGGCAGCGCCTCTCACCTGCCCAGCAAGCAGCTGCATTCAGGAGATTTGCTCCCGTTGCACGTCTCAGTCCAGGCCCCACTCCACCCCTCAAGCAGATACTTCATCTAGCTTCTTCCTTTACCCTGTCACCTTCTGCAACCTGGTTGACCCGCCAATCCTATCAAAAAAAAAAAAAAAAAAAAATCTATGGCTTTCACCCTCCTACTTATGACAACCAGCCTGAAATTCTACCTGAATTCTTTAACTCTTAAATGTCTGGACTGGTGGCAAGTAGTACAGAAAGGAATGAAAAAACATGTCAATTTTATCCCGTCATTCCTCTACTCAAAAGTTCTGTGCTTCCAGCTAGGCGCAGTGGCACACGCCTGTAATACCAGCACTCAGGAAGGCAGAGGCAAACCGATCTCTGTGATGGAGGCCAGCATGGTCTACAAAGCAAGCCCAGGACAGCCAAGGCTACACAGAGAAACCCTCTCTCTCAAAAAAAAAAAATCAAAAACCAAAACAAACAAACAAACAAAAAACCAAAACAAACGAACAAAAAAACCCCTCAAGTTGTGGTTCAGTGGATCTGATGTAGGGCTCAAGATTTCCAGTATCCAGCAAGTTTCTACGTGGTCTCTTTACTGCTAGTCTGAGGACCAACGTTTTGAGTGGCAAGGAGGCCCTGAAACACCTAACACAATGCTTTCGATACTAAATCTGATTTGAAGATGTGTAAGAGATGTTCTTGTGTTTAGAGTCAGCATTTTTACTATGAAGATATGACTAACATGATCAAGAAGGAATGTTTTTATAAAATAAGAGGAGTAGGCACTGGGGGTGTAGCTCATCAGGAGAGGGCTTGCTTAGCATGCCCACTGCCCTGGGTTTAAATGCCTAACCACCACCACCACCACCAAAAAGGGCAGAAGCAGTAAAGTGAAGAGTTTTTGTCGTAGCTCTGTTGCTAATCATGTAGGTGACTCTGAAGAAGTCATTTGTTCCCCCAGGACTTCAGTGTCTTATTTGTAAGACTGAAGTGGTAGAGCCAAGCCAGCATGCCATAACCGTGTCTAATGTTTTTATGCAAATTAATAATTCAAGTGGTTTTGTTGAGCACAAAGCTGTGCTGTAAAGTGTTGTGGAAGTGATAGAATTCTTACTGGAAAATCCTTTAGGCAGGTTGGGTTTAGGAAGGGAAATAATGGCTAGATGCGGGTGGAGCGGTTTGTCAATTTTGGTAACACTGGAATAACTTGAGGGTTTAAAAATTACTAATGCTCCTCTCACCCAGCTTCTGGTGTGAGCGCTTTCCAGGAGCTTTACTCTGTGGCCGAGACAGAGTGGCAGGATTTCGTGCCATGTGCTTGATGTAAAGCGTCAGATCTGGCTGGCTGGAGGCTTTGAGTGGAGCAGTGTTGTAGGCAGAGGCACCGAAGTGGGGATGAGCATTTTGAGAACGTGGAGCAGTCCTAAATGATCGCAAAGATGCTGGGGTAGACATGTTTGGCCGTAGTGGTTTTGGGTTTTGTGCATGCCTGAGGAGTTTGGTGTTCCCCTGTGGTCTGCCAAACCATTTACAGTCTGGGGTAGCAAACGGGCAGTGTGAGCAATAAGGAATGCTCTGAGCCTTAGACTGGAAGAATGGAAAAGACCAAGGCTCGCAAGCACTTCTAGTAATGCAGGTGTGCTAGCAAAGGGAGTGGGAAAAAGAGCCCCTGCATGGGAGACACTGGACAGAGAGGGAAGATAAGCTTGGCTGTGGTGGTATAGCCTGTGATAGGACCACCTTGTTTAGGCCAGGCGCCTGAGAGATGCTGGTGCCAGGACTGGGAAGTGGGAGAGAGTACTATGTGGTGACATTTTAAGCAGGTGATTGTAAGATTCGGCATTCAATTTCTGATCCTGTTCCACCCTCGCAATTTTCAGTTGGTTTCCCATGCTTTAGTCATTATTCTGTTGGGGTGAAGAGTCACCATGACCAAAGCAACTGTGTAAGAATAGAAGAAAGTATTTAATTGGGGGCTTGCTTGCAGTTTCAGAGGTGTAGTCCATTATCGTCATGGTGGGGGAGCATGCCAGCATGCAGGCAGACATGGTAGCCGAGAGCCCCAGATCCACAGAGCAGGAAGAGAGAAAGCCTGAAAGCCTACCCACAGAGACACACTTCCTCCATCAAGGCCACACCTCCCAATCCTTCCCAAGTAGTGCCACTCCCTGATGACCAAGCATTCAAACATAGGAGCCTATGGGAGCCATCCTCATTCAAATGGCCACCACACTGTCTAAGCCTTGCTTAACAGATAGCCCGCTCTAAAATCTTAACTCGTTAGCTCTTGGCTTGAAAGTGTAACCTCTTTCTTTCTTCTATTTCCGCACCAGTTTGGGGGAAAGCTGGTCACTTTTGGCCTTCCCAGCATCCCTGTCCAGCAGGCGCCGCAGCCCTGCCCCCACCTGGTCTTCATCAGTCAAGTCATCACTGAATCAGAATTCCTGGCGAGGTCAGCTGTGCTGCAGGAGGCCTTGGGATCTGGGAATCTCCTAAATTATTGTCAGAGCAAGATTCAGCAAGCTTCACTGCCATGTGAAAGATTGCTTTGGCAGTTCCTGAAGGTAGGAGGCTTGAGGACGGGCTGCTCTTTCCCGAAGATCCAGAACCCCAGCCCCCATCAACTCCAGGAGACCTAACAAGCACACTGTGACCTATTCAGGAAGCCCTTCCCCAGACTCGCTGTTTTTTTATGTCCTCCCGGACACAGAGTCTTTACCCTTTTCTGGAGGCTCAGAGGCCGCTTATAAAGATTGGAGGTGCTGAGGTGTTGTTGGTGTCTTGGATATTCTCCCAGCCAAGGCGAATGCTTTCATAGTGTCATTGGAGGGATACATGAACATAAGGAGTCGTGAGGTTTGTTTGAGGTAATCCAGGGCAGGTCCCTGTTGGGCCACTCCGCCTGGGCACCAGGGGTGTAGTTCTAGCCCCCCCCCCCCATGTCAGGGTATGAATAGGAGGAGTGTGTGCTTGTCAGAGATGTGAGAGCTAGCTTGTGGCAGAGTACTAGCATGAACAAAGCTTGGCACTACAGCTCTCTCTCTTACACACACACTCACATGCAAACACATACAAAAGCACATGTGTAAGCAAGCACTCATACCCACATGCCCACACACATACACACGCAAAATAAGAAAATAAACGTAAAACACTCAGTGCAGTCCACCTTGATGGTGCCTGAAGCCGGGTACGAAGGGCCATTTCCAAGAAAGAGCATAGAAGAAGGAGGAAGGCTGGAGATGTAGGAAAGACGACAGTCAGAGTCCATTGTTCGGCGTGGAAGAAACAGGGGAGGTCAGCTGAGCCAGCTTCCCGGCCCCTGGTGTCCGGATTCTGGTGGGAAGCTCACTCTGCGCACTGCCCCTGGGCATCTTCTGCCAGTGTCTAGTCAGCTCTGCACATAGATCTCCAGACCGCTGTGGGTTACACTTGGCATCCGTCTCCTCAGGGTTTGGAGACCAGGAGCAGTGGCAGTGGCACTCTCCTGGGGTGGCCTTTTCAGCATTTGATGCGGCAATTCAGAGCTCCCTCTAGCTCCCCAGACAGCTCAGATGCAGGAGAAGATGCAGGCAGCTCTGTAAGGCCTGACTCACGAGCTGCTCGGGCAGAAAAGCTGAGTTTAGAGTTTTAGAGTCCCCACAGGGATATGTCCAGTAGCCAGAGCCCATGAAGCCAGAAACCCTGACATGGTGGCCATGTCAGTTATCTATGGTTTACACAGTTCCAGGCCGGATTTGATAACCAATCAATTACAAGCAGAAGCGTCTCAAAACAGTCGGTGTGTTATGCTCATCAGGTTACCAGGGAAACCGAGTTAGGAAGTCAACTGAAGGTACAGTTCTCATTCAGACGTGGCAAAGGGTTGTGACAATACTCTTCACAGCCCAGCAAAAACCAGATGTGAAGAAGGGTAAGAGGTAGCATCACTGTCCCTAAGGTTCAATGGTACATGAGCCCGTGTTTGAGGGTGCACTGGTACAGATGTCCATTGTGATGTAAGAGAAGGATCAATCACACCCATTTGATAGAAATGTTTTTGTATTTTCCGGTTCCTTAGGTGACCTTAGAGCATGACTCCAGGCTGAAATTCCTCAGGCTGTTAGGTTACAGCAAAGAGGAGTTTCAGAAGAAGGTAAGCATTTGCTGTAGAGAGCAAATAATCCTGCTTGAGGACTCTGCCCCGGACACCAGTCTTAATTCATGACATCTGTGTATTGTACATCCTGGAATTAGGCTTTTCTCCAGAAAAACAGGTGAAGGAGTATGGTGGCTGGGGGGAGGGGCTGTAAGACCTATGGGAGCCTGGGCTACAACACCAGTGCTTACAAGGCTCTCCTCACAGGTGGACACACGCTTGAAAAGTGACTTGAAGGGAGAGGAAAGCCCTCAGCCTGAGGCACTCAACCCCAAAAGTGACAGAGCACACACCTTTTGCAGCCAGGTATAGTTGGAGGCCAGGCAACCTGACCTGAGGTAGCATAGGAGACCTGCCTTTTAGGGAGCATTCTTTTTGCTGACCCTTCTACTTGTTCTCAGTAAGCTTCTGGAGAGGTCTCTATCCTCCTGAGCCAGAGGAGAATAGAGCCCATGAAGTACTTCCCAAACCTACGTGTGCATTCTTTTAGTTTCATCTACTAGGGTTCAAATTGTCGTGCTCCCAGTGATAGCATGCTCTGTGTACCCTGCTTCAGTTGCCCCGCAGTCACACTTGCCCCTCTGTGCACAGGCCTCCAAACACACTACCGAGGAAGCCTCTGCATCCTCAGCCTTCTTTGATGAGCTGGTCCCTCAGAACATGACTCCTTGGGAGATCCCCGTCACAGAAGGTACTGGGAGAGAGGAGCTCGCTGCACGGGAGCAGGTGGGCCCAGAGTGTTTGGTTTTAAGAGTCCCTTATTGTCTCCTGACTCCCAACTAAAATCTCCAGCATAGCTGGGCCATTTACCAGTTGATGCTGTCTCTGATCGTAGAGTCTAATATGGGCCCTATCCTGGAGGGCCTTCTGCTACAGTCTTTTTTCCTATTCCTTGGTTTTCTTGTTAAAAGAACTGCGCCGTTGCCCATGCTGAGCAAGCACAGGTCGTGTCTGTGACCCTGCATGCAGGCCTCTCTGCTTTGAGTCCCGTTGTAGACAGTTACGGTTGAGTCAGGGCATCCCTATGACACATTTTGTTGCCCAGAAGTGAAACTTGGGAGTTTTGTGGAACCAGGCAGCCTGAGTTGGAGATGGCATTTGCAGACAAGCCTCCAACACAGCACAGGGGAAGCCTTCACACCTCCAGCCTTCTTTAAAGAGCTGGAACCAGATGAGGAAGTACTGTGGGTCTGGAAGGACAGGAGGTGAGTGTGTGAGGGCCAGCGAATGAGGAGGGGATGCCCCTGTCTGCAGACCCTGATGGACTCTTGAGCCAGGCCCTGCTGCTTGGGGAACTGCGGCCTGCTGTGGAGCTGTGTATGAGGGAGGAACGCTTTGCTGACGCCATCATCCTGGCTCAGGCTGGGGGTGCAGAGCTGCTGAAGCGGACCCAAGAATGCTACTTGGCCAAGAGGAGAACCAAAATCTCACCGGTACTGCCTTTCACCCAGGAAAAGGAAGGAGGGGATTGCTTGGACCTAGACAGGTGGGAGGCCTGTGTATTGGGACTGCTGTTTGGAATCTACCCATCTCCATACTCTAGCAACCTCTGCTTCATTGTTAGCCCTGTTCAGTGTTCTAAAACGAGTGGCTTTGTTACAACATCCCTGTGTGTGACATCTACTGACTGTTCTGGATGGAAGCTGAGGGTCTCCTTTCTGCCCAGTACAGCTTCTAGCCTGTGTGGTAAAGAAGAATTGGAAGGACCTGGTATATGCCTGTAGCCTGAAGAACTGGAGAGAGGCACTGGCCTTGCTACTGACATATTCAGGGCCAGAGAAATTCCCTGAGCTCTGTGGTAGGTGTGACCCCAGCCCATGTCAACAGATTTATGCCCAGAGGAGGCAAAGGGTCCACCAGCCTGGACTCTGGAAGGCGGGGCTCAGCCAGGAGCCTCTCTTTTCCTGCAGGTGTCATGTATGTTCTGTCTTATTTCTCTGTGTCACATCTTATGGCAAGTTCTTTGCCTTTCTGTATAGACCAAGGTTAGCTTTTCTTTAAGATTTTTTTTTTTAAATTTTTATGTGTCTGACTATTTTGTTTGTATGTATATAAGTGAATTTGTACCATGTGTATGTCTGGTCCCCATGGAGGGCAGTAGTCAGATTCCCTGGAACTGAAGTTGTAGACGGTTGTGAGCTGCTGTGCAAGTTCTGGGAATCGAACCCAGGTCCTCTGAAAGAGCAGCATGTGCTCTTCACCACTGAGCCATCGCTCCATCCTCCTGAGTTGTCTTAAAACCATTGTAGACTCTTGTCTCAGAGCTCACAGCCCTTCTCTGGTTTCCAAACAAGTGAAGGAAGAATAACACAGGGAAGTTGTGCTGTTAAAAAGTTTGCATCTCTCCACAGACATGCTGGGAACTCGCATGGAGCAGGAGGGAGGCAGGGCACTCTCCTCTGAAGCCAGACTCTGCTATGTGTGCTCAGGAAGTGTGGAACGGCTGGTGGAGAGCTGGGTGAGATTCCAGCAAGCCTCAGGCCCCATGGCTCTGCAGGTACCTCTTTTCTGCAGAGCTCTGGCCACTCCAGGCTCTCGGGAGAGACTAGTGTTAGGGATGTGCAGAGAAGAGAGTGCCCGTTCAGGTCTGCTTCTGTCCTTCGGTCATCCAGAAACATTTATACATGGCTGCACAGGAAGGAACAAAACAGCCAGGCTGGTGGGTTAGCAAGTGAATTCAGGGAGAAAAAGCCCTTCTCCAAGATGGCTTTCAGTAAAACAGCTCTCCTTTACTTGTGGGAATGAGGGCTATATAAACCTCGGGGAGGTGGATAGGGGTTTTTGGAGTGAGTATACATCACTGGTTGGGGCTGGTGTGCTGGAAATGCTTCATTTGCATGATGAGGGATTCCAGGTACTATCTGGACATGTCCTTATAAGGAAATAGGAAATTTGAACCTGAAACCTGGACACTGGGTGACAACCTCAAGGGTATCAGAGGTGGGGTCTCAAGGCTATTGCACTGGGGCAGGCAGCTCCAGAACAGGGAGGGAGCAATCCTTACTCCTGCTGGTCTCAAGATGAGATTTTTGGGGTTTGGACAAGTCTCGACCTTACTCTTGCTCCTTGCTCTGGCCGGCTCCTCCAGTAGCATGGCTCACCTGCTCCCCAAGAGAGGTGAGTCATTTGGGTAAGGTAGCATTAGAGAAGAGCAGAGAGCCCTCAATGCCTGATGCCTTCTCCCCAGGGTGAAACAATCACCTTATTTCCTCAGGATTCCTAGGTTGGGTATGAGTCTTCATCGTTTTTTTTTTTTTTTTCCTTCCAATGACTCATACAGGTAAATTCAATATTTGATTAATAGTTTTTCTGAAATTTCTATGGATCTAAACTGTATCAGGTGCTCTGTTGGTAATCAAAAAAGGTGAAGTCATAGGCTTGTGGGAGTCATACAAGCAGGAAGGGATAAAGAAGTACCAAGAAGAGACAGAGACAGAGATCCATAATAATCCAAGGCCTGGATACACCCCATTGATCCCATCCTCCATTCTTCCTCTTTATGTGATTCTCTGTTGCCTTCACCATGGTGTGTCCACATGCTTTCCTTTTCATGATATAATGTTCCTGAATGAGACACCTGGATGGAACAAGATGTGCTTGAAAGAAGTTGATTACCTCCATCCTTGTTTCTACAGGACCTGATGGAGAAGGTGATGGTTCTCAGCAGGAGCCTGGAGCTGCAGGGTTCTGACAAGATGAATCCAGGTCCTGCCACAACATACAGACTTATCCAGTATGCCAGTCTCCTGGCATCCCAAGGCAGCCTGGCTATTGCCATGAGCCTCCTACCCAGTGACTGTATCCAGGTGAGAGTGGCCATGAGAAGGACCAAGTCGCCTTGTTCGCTCATCTAATACCAAGGGCATCCATGTTTTAGGTCCTATGCTAATGCTATAGCTCCTAGGAGAAATGAGAGCTTGTTCCTTTAGCAGCTCAGTCTGTTGGGGGAGATCACATGTCAGTGACTGACACTGTCACAGCAGGTTGCACTAAGCACCATGGGTCTTCAGGGGAGAGGCTGACCTCTCTGGAGAAGCGAAGGAAGGCTTTCCAGGGGTTAAGGCGATTAACTGAATGTATAATAAGGAGTGCATCTAGGAAACTCCCAATGGATAGAGTAGCCAGGAGGGGAGGGGCGCAAGTGTTTGACAGGGGTTAGGCAACTGGAGTCTCTCTAGGTTACTAAAGAAGAGAGAGAGAGAGATCCAAAGCTTGTTGAAAGAGCGCAGGTGTGTAAGAGAAGGTGTTCAGTGGTCTTGATTTCCTAACATAGCTCTTCCTTATTCCAACTTCAGCCAGCAGTTCAGCAGCTGAGAGATCGGCTTTTCCATGCCCAGGGTTCTGCTGTCTTGGGCCAACAAGCTCCCACTTTCCCCTTTCCCCGCGTTGCTGTAGGCGCTGTCCTCCACTTGAAGGAGATGTCCTCGTGCAGAATGGGATTCCAGCCCCCTCACCAGGTCAGACCTCATTTGTAATTAGTTTATTCATCCCTTTATAAGCATTTACGTGCCACACTTGGTTGTAGACACTTGGAATAGTTCAGTGAACAAAACCAGATGAAAATTCTTAGCTTTGTAGAGCTGTTCTAGATTCAGCTATAACTAATTATAATTAAGTAGTTATAACTAATAACTGTTTGTTGAACAAACACTAGGATCTTAAAACAGAAGGGACACAAACTATGTTCTTTGCCCTCAAGAAGTTCATCTAGTGGAAGGATAGATATACAAAAATAATGTAGTAGAATTCAGAATAGCCATGATGGCAATATGGCAAGGGGTTATGGGATTACAGAGAAGAAAAAAAAATGTGTGTGTGTGTGTGTGTGTGTGTGTGTGTGTGTTGAGTACAGCTCAGGGAATGTTCTAGAATGAATATGATATTGATCACTTGATCTGAGACTTTAAAAAATGATTTTACATTTAAAAAGAGATTTTTAAACATTTTTATTCACGCATATATGTGTGTCTCTGTGTGTATGCCACATGTATACAGATGCCTACAGAGCCAAAAGAGGATGTCAGATTTTTTGTTGTTGTTTTTAGCACAGGAGTTATAGGTGATTGTAAGCTGTCTGCTGTGTATGCTGGGAATTGAAGAGTTAAAAGTAGAATAAGACTGACAGTCAGGGAGCCTGCATGGATCTGACCTAGGCTCTCTGCATATATGCTACAGCTGTGTACTTGGTCTTCTTGCGGGACTTTTAACAGTGGCAGCAGGGCTGTCCCTGACTCTTTTGCCTGATTTGGGGACCCTTTTCCTCCTACAGGGTCACATTGTTCAGTGCCTAGTATTATTGCAACTTGATATGTCATGTTTGGCTGATATCCCTGGGGCCTGCACTTTTCTGGAGGGGAAGGAAGAGGAGTGGACCTGAGGGAGAGTGCAGGTTGGGAGAGGGACTGGAAGGAGAGGAGGGAGGGGAAACTGTGGTCAGGGTGTAATATATGGGAGAAGAATAAACAAACAAACAAACAAACACAGGGTAGTTGGGAGAGTACTTTTAACCACTGAGCATCCATCTCTCCGGCGATCTCACTCTCTTTCAAATTATTTATTTATTTATCTATCTATCTATCTATCTATCTATCTATCTATCTATCTATCTATTTACTTATTTATTTATTTATTTATTTATCTATTTATTTATTTATTTATTTATTTATTTATTTATTTATTTATTTATTATTTTACATCCAGGCCGCAGTCTCCCCTCCCTCCACTCTCCCCCACCTTCTTGCTCCTGCCCCCCATCCACTGCTTCTCTCTCTTCAGAAAAGGGCAGGCCTCCCATGGATATTAAAGATTAAGTTATTTAGAATGGACACATTACATGTATTTCAGGCAGTGGGAACAGAAGTGCAAGCTCATTGAAACAAGAGGAATCAACAGCCTTTTGAGGAAACACTAGACCATCAGTGGGTTGTGGTCTTGGATGGGGTTACGAAAAGGAAAAGTGGGAAATCGAAGACTGAGAATCTGGCATATTGTACTAAAGAACTTAGGCTTGACCCTGGTGTTGTTACAAATATGGAACATATGAGAAATGGCCAAGCACACCAACTCTCTGAGCCTTTTCTCTCTTCATAGGTCCCAGCTCCATCTGCAAGGCTGAGGGCCCCAGCACAGCCCTCATTAGTGATGCCCTTCGTACCCTCCCATCCCAGCCCTTCTCAGGGCGCAGGGACACAGTCCACAAGCAACCACCCAGTGCTTGGGCCTTTGCTTGCTGGCCCTGTGGTAAGGCCAGGTGAGTGAGTGAAGCTCTCTTCTGGCAGAGTGCAGAGGGCTCAGGAGTGACAGACATACTCTCTCCCCAGTCCATGCTGATGGTGCCCAGAGAAAACATTTTTGTTTTGTTTTGTCTGGGAACAAGGTCAGCCTCCAGGCTAGCCTCCAACCTGCTCTGTAACTGAGGATGATCTTAAACTGATCTTTCTGCCTCTATCCTCAAGAGCTAGAGTTACAGGAGAATAGCCAGATTGTTTTGTCTTTTTAACACATTTTTTAAAATTCTGCTTTCTGATTTCCTAATAGTGTTCTTTATTGAATACCTTTTCATAGTCTCTTTTTTTTTCTCTCTCTTTCTTCCCTTTCTCTCTTCCCCTCCCCCTGTCTCATTAAAGGCTTGTATTTTTGGGAATTTACCAAAGTATTTATACCAGTCATTTCAATTCACTAATATTTTGAGGGTCAATTAAGCAATAAAGTTAAAAAGTGCTTTGCAAATTGCAGATTTCTCTCTACATGTCCTGATCATTCATTGTTATTATTAGCTGTGGGTTCTCAGATTTTTTTAAATGGACTCTTGCGTAGTTTCAAATTCCTGGTCTTGTCTCAGCCTCCCCGGTGTCACTTCAGGTGTGTGCCACCACGCTTGCTTTTCTGTTTTTGTGCTGTTGATTTGTTCCTACATGGTGTCCTCTGAGCCTCTCCCACATGAAGTTGGGTGATAAGTTATCATCTGTCTATTCTCCTTCAGCTTTCTCTCAGCCGCAGCTGTTAGGAGGACAAAGTGCTCCAACTGAAAACCTGGTTGGATTCTCTGGAGGATGGCTTCTTCCTGGTCCCACTCCACTCCTAGCATCCCCGGACACCATGCAGCCTGGCTCTACCCCGCTGCCTGAAACTCCTAGACTGCTCCCTCTGCCTCCTATGGGACCACCCAGCCTCAGCCCTCTGGGCTCCCAGCTCTCAGCCTCTCCTGCCAGTTTCCCTGTAGCTTACCCCCCTGGAGGGACAGGGGCTCCATGCTCTAGTGCCCTCACAACCACTGGCATCTTCACTCCTCGTCCAGGTCAGTCTTCTTTCCATGGCCTGTTCTTGGGCATCATTATCTCCTCTCCTCCCCTTCCCATCACTACTTTGGGAGTCTTTTTTCTCAAGCCAATGAACTAAGGCCCTTTGTCAGCTTAGAGTATGACTGACTACTGAGGGCAGTATGGCAGACTTTAACTAAATTAATTTTTTCAGCTTTTAGATTAAACATTTTTAAGGTTTATGACTATGTCCCTAAAACCCCCATTTTGTGTTCTTTAGGATCCCAGGATGCCTGGAAAGCTGCTCCAGCCACCCTGGAAAACCTCCAAAGAAAAAAGGTCACTGCATCTTTCCCTACCCAGTAACTCACTTTCTAGTTCTTTAAGAATTCAGCTCCACCCTTCCATTTATATTCTTCTTCAAGCTAATCTCTGTCTCTCAGCACCTCCCTCTTTTCCTCCTACACATATCATTTTGTTTTCCTGTTTCCCTGTTCAAAATCAGAGCCCATAGTGTCTCTGGGTTCACTCATATGCTTTTCTTTATCTTGTTAGTTGGAGACATTTGTGCCTCCAGCACCAATTACAGCTCCAGTGAGGAGCCTCGGCCCTGAGCCACCACAGGCCCTGCTGCCACAGCCCCGGGCCTTCAGTGTGAGCCAGGCTCCTCCTGGAGCCCCAAGAGAACACAGCCTACAGGTGACAGGAACAGTGGGTCCTCTCCCCTGGGGTGCTTTCCAGCAGGGATCATAGAAACTGGATTTCTTCTTTAAGGCAGAAGTAATCCTTGAGCTTGAATCGTTCTTCCTGCAGAGAAGGGGAGGGGTGGGTGGCTCTCAGCTCTGCCTTGGTGGCAAGTGTGACCTTGAGTCACAGGGGACAGGCCTTAGGGAAGCCATGAGGGCAGCCAATCTTCCGTTCTTCCTCCCTGTTTCCTTATTAGCAACTTAGTCCCAAGAAGGTGGAGAAGGAGCTGCCCCCAGAGCATCGGTGCCTGAAGGACAGCTTGGAGGCACTCCTTCATCGCTGTTCCCTGGCTGCCACTGACCTGGTGAGTCAGAGCCTGCCTTCTCCATCCCAGCGGCTTCTGGATGACTCAAGCATAGGCCCATCCTCTCGCTGTCCCAGACATACTGACTGCATTTTGGGCTTCTTCGGTGTCCAGAGGAAGAGTGTGTGTGTGTGTGTGTGTGTGTGTGTGTGTGTTCGTGGGGGGTGGGTTTGGAGTCTGCCCTAAGTCCCACTTCTGAGTAGCAGGACCAAAGAGGATGGGGTTTTACAGCATGAAGACATGGTAGAAAGAGGGTGGAGCTGCAGAAGGAAGCTGCTGTACTCTTACTAGCTGTGTCACCTGAGCAAGTCTCCTGCTGTCTCTGGGCCTCTACTTGGTCTGTGAAATGAAGGAAATAGCACTGAGCCACTCTGGTTGTTACATATCATGAATGTTGATAGCACTGTGTAGTGTAAGCCTTAGGGGTAGGGTCGGAATCCACTTTTCTCCCTGCAGAAAACAAAAAGGAAGCTGGAGGAGGCAGCTCAGCGTCTAGAATGTCTGTATGAGAAGCTTTGCGAGGGGACAGTAAGTACCTGAGTGACTCCCGCCGCCTGCTGCCTCTTTCCCACCCCCCAACCCACCCCCCAGCCAAAGGAAGCCCTCTCTTCCTGTGAGCCTCAGAGACATCTAGACTGTGAGTCTAGAAGGCGAGGCCCCTCATTCTCTCCATGCTGGGTGGGCTCATCCAACCTAAAGGTCAATCCCTCCACAGCTCTCAGCCCATGTCGTGGCTGGGCTCCATGAACTGGCCCGATGTGCGGATGTGGGAAGCTTTGAGCAGGGCCTTGCCGTGCATGCCCAGGTGGTGGGCTGCAGCAGCTTCAGCGAGGTGTCCAGCTTCATGCCCATCCTGAAGGCTGTCCTCACCATCGCACACAAGCTGCAGAGCTAAGGCAGCCCCTTCCACGGGGAGGCCGTTCCTGCTGTTTAACTCCTGGCAGAAAGGGGGAGTTTTTCAACAGGTTGTGTTTCTTTCTCCCAGCCCTCTTCCCTTGCAGCCACACCAGCCAAGTGCCTGTTTCTTATCCCTGTATGCATGGCCACCTGGGGTTTTGCTGGCTGCCTTCAGCCTGGAAGGTAGAACATAGAGTTGGGCCTTACTCGTATGGCAGTCCAACAGGGCCTTCACCAGAATGGCTTACACAGGGATACTCTGCTCAAATGGCTTCCGAGAGGGTAAACAGTGTCGTGGGTTCAGTCTGCCTCTGCCATGACTCATATTATACTTCTGTTTTTTTCTCTTCTGGAGTTTGAGCCTTATTGTACTTTCCTCTGTCTTCATATTCTATTGTAGCCCCAGGTATTTGGGGAGAATTGGCTAATGTTCCCTTTTTTGAATAAGTTGTGGGCTTAAGGATTGAGTGAGTGTTGAACAGAATCAAGAGAGGAACTTGAAAAAACGGAACTTCTCCCGTATTAGCTCAGGGTGGGCTGTGCTGGGGGCAAGTGGAAGTAGAAAAGTGCCTTTTGTTTGGACTGTAGAGCAGCGGCTCTCTGCAGGTGACCCCTTTGCGGGCCACATGCCCTTTCAAAGGGGTCACCTGAGCCTATTTGCATATCAGATGTTTACATTATGATCCATCACAGTAGTGAAACTATGGTTATGAAGTAGCGTGAAAGCATTTTTATGAGTGGGGGTTTCACCAAAACATGAGGAACTGTATTAAAGGGCCGCAGCATTAGGGAGGTTGAGGACCACTGCTCTAGAAGAATGACTCTTGACACCGCCCAGGCTGGAGCCTGGCCCAAGGCCTTAAACTATCCGTGAATTTTAAGCCTGGTTCTGGCATCAGAGCCTAGCTTCTGAAAGGATCAGGGCCCTTCTTCCTCTCAGCTCTCTTATGTCCCAAACTGCTTTCTCTGGCCACATTTTCATGCTGACCTCTTAACAGTGCAATAAAGTGGATTGATCTGCTTTCCAAAGTCATTTCCTAATCATTGTCTCCTCTGGATCCTACTTTGCTGATGCCTCTCTTTCAAGAATATCGAGGTATTGCTTCCTGTGCTACAGAGAAAGGCAGGAAAGATAAGGACTCCAAAACTGCAGAAAAGAACTTTAAAAAATTGTGTATGACTGTTTAGCTTGCATGCATGTCTATGTACTGTGTACCTGGGGCCTATCGAGGCTGGATGAGGGCACCTTGTGGGTGCATGTCCTTTGAAGAGCAGCCATCTCTCCAGCCCAGGAAAATAACTTGTAAAGTGCAGAGCCCACACTTCTGCTGTAGGCCTTTCCTTGCAACGTCTGTAGCCACAGTGTTTGGTGTGTGTGTGTGTGTGTGTGTGTGTCTGTCTGTCTGTCTCTCTGTCTGTCTCCATTTGTGCCTGACAGTTAGCTGCAGGGTTTCCCCCACACCACTTCAGGGCCGAGCTCAGCTGCACAAAGGGCCTGGGTGTGAAGCCCGGGGGTTCCAGCCCTAATCCTGTTGTCGATCCCATCATGTCTGCAGGCTAGATGCGTGTGTTTGGGAGGGAGGGATTGTTAGGCAGTATTTGTTTGTAAAGCCACTTGCTCTTCAGATAATACTTGTGCTAACTTCTATTGATGAAGCAGTGTGAGTCCCAGCAAAGTCCTTTCCCAAAGTGTCTTTGAAGCCAAGAGCCCATTGAAGGGAAGAAAGGCGGGGAGAGGGGATTAGTTTGTTCAGCAGCTGTGAATTTCAGTGGGAGGTTGATGAACTCTGAAGTCTTTGTTTAAATTAAAGGGGGGGGGCTCGGGGAAAAAAGCTGCCGCTGGAGGAGAGCCCCACTTGGGCTGAACTAACACAAGGAGAAGTCTGAGCTGCAGGGAGCTGTGTACTGACTGCGAAGACTTTTCCCAAACACTTTTGGAAAAGGTGTTGTGAGGAGAGAAGGGGGCGGAGTGGAGGATTAACATGTGAAATGAAGTTTTCATTGACTCCGGCGGGGGTAGAAGGCTGTTTTAATGGCATTTTGTTCCCCTATTTTCTCTCCTTGAGCTCTTTAGAGATATTGTTTTGCTAAGACAGGCTTTCTTCCCTCTTCTTTCCAGTGTGAGGATTGCCTCTATGGGAGCCAACATAAATATTTCTCCTCCAGGAATGTGGGTTAATTAAAAGGAAACGAATGAGTGGAAGCATCCAATCCAGACCGACAATAGGCGAGTGCCCCGGCCTGCCCTTCCCTCCCACCACCGCCAGTGCTACCAGCGTGCCAAGGACGACCCTTTCTCTCTTTGCACTGACCTGCTCCTAAGGCCAAGTGAGGCTGGGACTCTTTTAAAGAAAAGAAAGCCTTGCTTATGTGTAGGCTCACAGGCCAGGGACAGGAAGGAGACAGTGTTTTGCTCACCCCGCCGAGTGCTCTCGTCACTTCTCAGGACCTCCCTCCTCAGACGGAGACAGATGGGCTCCTTGAGAGCGCACCAGAGGCAGGAAGGGATCTGGGTTGCTGTGCCACCTGTTTTTCTCAACATCAGTTTAAATGTATAAAACAAAAGTTTGACTAGCTGACCTCAGAGGTTCCTGGTCTTCCCAGTCAGTTGTCTGCACAGCGATTCAGTGTAAGACAAGAAGCCGTGAGCTGAGGGATGCTGGTACGTTGTTAGCTGTCCCCACTCCAGTGTTTATTCCGTGAACAAAAGCATGAAGGCGTAATGCATAAAGGGGACAATGTTTTCTCTTTAGAACTGGAATGAACTGGGTGTCAGTCATAGCCATTTAGGGATACAAAGCAAAACCTGTGGGAGAAATGACAGGCTGATGCGTTTGGAGTCTGACTTTAAAGTTCTGAACTTTGAAGCACAATGCTTCTACTTTTATGCTGAGAGCCCTGGAAAAATGCAGCTTTTCTTTCCAATGTGGAACCTTTACATTTTTCAGTCGCATTGCTACGTTTTCTTCTGTACGCTCTCAAGTAGCTGTCCAGTGAGACAGTGGGATTAACATATACTGTTGCTTGATTAGGAAAAAGAAAGGATCACTTGGGAGACTCAAGGGCACAGATTAGAACTGAAGGAGAGAAAAAGGAGCCTTTTATAATAGAGCTGGAAGTGAAGAAGCAAGTTCCCTGCTAAAGCACGTTCCCTGCTGAAGGAGAGAAAGAACCCCCCTGTCCCCCCCACCTCCATAAGTGTCAACAGGACCAGAAGAGGCAGAGGCCTGCCTTAGCCACTGTCCTTGCAAATGTCAGAGGCATTCTGCTCTTCAAGGTAGACCCTGGGGCTTTGGCATAGGAGCTCCGTACCTTCAGGAGAAGAGGAATGAAGATAAGAATTGGGCTGGCTCTGCTCCAGAAAGGCTGTGGATGCCCACACCCAGGCCTAGCCTAGGGCAAGGAGCAGCTATGGGGAAGGTGTGGCCAGAGCTGGCTCTCCTGCACCAGAGCCCATCTCATAAACAAGCCCCTGCTGGACTGCCCCTCTCCGGGGGAGAAGCTCAGGCCCAGGAGCAGCAAACTCCAGGCTTCCAAGCGGCTACTTTAGTGGAAGGTTAATGTGGGTGATTCACTAATCCCCGCAGATTAACTCAGTCAGGCCAAGCTAACTACTCAGGCCATCCAGGAAGGCTGCAGGTATCCTGCAAAAGTGGGAGGGAGCAAAGAGCTTAGAAGTTAAGTTTCTACTCCACTTTCCTCTCAGCATCCCAGTGAGTTCAAGACCTGGGGGAAGAAGCACACATTAGAGACTGCAGTAAATTTAAAAGGTCAAGGTTCTGAGCAGCCTATTAGCAACTGTGTGTGTGTGTGTGTGTGTGTGTGTGTAGTATGTGTGTGCCAGGTGTCGGGGAGTTAGGGTAAGTATCCAGTGTTCTGAATCCTGCCTATTTGAAATCCAGGTGTTGGGGCCCTGGTTCCTTCTTCCTGCATCCTGCCTTTAGAGGTACAGATCTAAAAATTGCCTTGATTTACTGGTCTTGGCTCAAAGCTCCTGTGGAGAAGGAAACAAGGTATAGATGGCTGCTATGAGCAAAAAATGATTGTCAGCTGCCGACCTCCACCACTCTTAGGCCCCTTGGGCGTGTCTGGAGTATCTTTGGTGTTTAGGAGTGTCACCGCTCAGCTGATGAAGTCTGTCGGGGACATGGTATCACAGAGGATTAACACATTTGGTATGCAAGTTGGGCTTTGGGGTTCCCTCTTACCCCATATTAAAAGGCTTACTTATTCCTGTTTTTCTCTTTTGTACTATTTCTGTTTTGTTGGTGGTGGTTTGGTTTGGTTTTCCGGGGGCAAGTAGGGAAATGAGAAGTCCACAGGAGTCTAGGCCTAGAGGCTCTGGCTCGCAGGAGGCAGGTGCAGCCGTGGTGGGCAAGAGAAGGACCCCCGTCTTTACCTGGACTCTGAGTATCTATCTGAGAGGGGTCCTTGCTGGGCCTGGTAAGCTCGGCCCAGCATTAGACAGCTGGTCCGAAGTGGGTACGGTGCGGTGAACACACTTGCCTGTCTTTGTCCTTGTCTCAGGAACAACTTGCAGAATTTTATAACAGTTCTGAGACCTACGAATGAGCTACGGAGACCATGCGGATGAATCCGGGAAACCGTTTGGAAAGTGGCACTCGTGGAGAGACTGCGGCCTCCCCCTGTCGAGGGATCGCTGGGCTAGGAAGCGCGAGGTCCCCATTCAGGGTTCCTCCATGTCCTGGGTCTCTAAACCGAGCCGAAGGCGCACAGGGAAGGAGCCAGGAGGACGCCCTTAGGCCTTCTCCCCGGGTTTGTGCGCAGCGCCTCTCGGCGGCCGCTCGGCGCGGCTGCAGAAGTACTTGGTGACGCGGCGGCGGCACTGCTCGCAGCGGACCGCGCAGCACCAGTGAAACTTGCAGTTGCAGCTGGACACCGTCTCGGCGCGGCGCTCCTCCACCGCCAGCCCGCAGTCCCCGCACAGCCGGCGGCAGCTGCGGCGCTCCCAGCGGCCCAGGGCGCGCCCGCGCCGCAGGCACTCCCGGCCCTCGGTGCCCTGCAGCCCCAGGGTCTTGTTCTCCAGGCAGTAGTCTGGGGAGTCCTCCAGGTGCACCAGCTCGCGCGTGGAGATGGAGCGGAAGGTGTCGGCGATGGCGCCGCGGCCCGCCGCGCTGTTGCTCGCGCCCTGCAGCAGGTCCACCTTGAGCGCCACGTGGTACTTCTCCTTCAGGTGCGCGCCCACCTCCCGGAACTCGGGCAGCTGCAACCAGCACGTCTGCGTGGTGCAGCTGCCAGACACGCCGTGGCACTTACACGTGCGTTTCATGGTGCCCTTGACCGCCTGGGGGAGAGAGCTGCGTGTAAGCGGCCCCGGGCTGGAGATGTTGTAAGGAGCCTAGCTAGTGGGTTAAAGAACCCAAGGCCTGGAGCTGGTAGTGGATGGAGCCAGCTGCCTAGCGCAAAGGGCTGCGGGACTCACCTTGCGGCCAGCTTCGTTGTTGTGCAGATTCATGGCGGCACGGGCGTCCTGTCCTGTCTCCAGGGCATCCACAAACTGCTTGGAAATTGCCTCTCCGAAGCCCACATTGTCACTGCAGCCTCCCCAGAGCCAGCCTTGGCCTCCTGAAAAGGCAGGGGCAGGAAAAGCCACTGAGTCCAAAACTTCCTGGGCTGACGTTTCTAGTTGGGTGGGGTAGGTGTGAGGAGGAGACTCTGGAGGATGGAAAGGGTTAAGGTTGGGAGAGTGCTCTGTTTCTGGATTGGTTTCTATCTTGCTTTGTTTTTTGCCACCTTTTCTGTCATCATTCAGTCTGAGCCAATCCCCTGCTCAGACCTTCATGACGTAGCTAGTTGTCACGTGATTCCACCCGCGTGCTGTTCTGCAGGAGAGTGCACGGGCTGGCCGGTTGAAGTCTGCAAGGGGACAAGAGTTCAACCTTTGAGGTTGGAAGAAGAACCTAATTGAGGCAGTATGGAGCAAGGAAGTCAGAAATTGAGACAGGGCCCAGAGATGGGGAAGGCAGTGGAAAACCGAGGGATGAGGGAGCAGGAAAGGAAGCCCCCCTGGGAGACACAGATGACTGAGCTTAAGTTGAGGAGCTCGACCTGGGAGAACATTTGGGCAGGAGAGCAGCCTCCGTTCGGGCAGGGCTGTCACTGCGTGTGTGGGCTGGAACCCACTCACTCCCCTTCAGCATTATTTTACTCCTCTTTAGAAGAACTCACTCTTATTCCTCCAAGTCCCCACAATGCTCTCCGTTGTGTAAGTGAGCTCCCCGCCTGCCTGCCGTCCTCATGTCCACGTCTCTACTCACCCAGTTGTCCATTTCGGGAGTCATCACAGCCACAGTTGTCAAAATCTCCAAGGCTGCAGTTTCTCGTCAGGGTGTACATAACTCCAGCCGAACTGATGGCATGTACAAACGCTGTCTCCCGGTTAGCTGGCGGAGCCAAAGTCGCTCAGGGGTTAGAAGAAGAGGTTGCAGCCCAAAGAAATGCCAGTGTGCTACTTTCCCCTAACGATTCCACCACCCACCCCTCCCAGCTCTGTCCTATCTGTGTAGCTTACTCTCTTCCAGGATCTATCCCATCCCTGGCCTCAGCTCTGTTATCCTCCACTCCTGTCTTTTCAAGTCACACACTGAAGTCTGGAAATCAGTCAGTCAATCTTAAAAAGCTCCGCAAATGGGCAGGCTTCTCATTGTGTATCTTCGCTGTGGTAACCTGGTCTCCAAGTTTCTCCTGCCTCAGCACCTCTCTCTAACCTGCTGAAAGGAGGGGACTAAGCAGTGTGTGGATTTATGACCCAGGCTACATCTTGGTATTAGATTGTGAGGGAGCTGTTAGCCAACTGGGCAGCCAAGGGCAGTACAGGACTGGAGATGAGATGATGGGTATTGAACAGGAAGGGAGGGAGGCAGGAAGGAAGGGAAGAATGAGCAGAGGGAGGGAGGAAGGAAGAAAGGGAGGGAGGGGAAGAAAATATAGGTAGGAAACAAGGGACAGGGAAGAAAAAAATGGAGATCAGAAGAGAGTGATGTCCTGAGCAAAGAGACTGGGTGAAAAATTAAGGATCTAGAGGAGGAGGGAGCCCAAGTTCTGGCCCGGGGTTCCTGGAGCAGAGGCCAAGGCTTTCCTTACCACTGCGGAGTCCACTGTGGCTGGACAGCTGTAACGCTCTCTCCGGGCAGTTCCAGCGGTCCCAAGCAAACTGGTACTTGCATTCTTCAATACCGCTCTGGGCGCCAGCTGCCACGCTGCTGGAGTAGACCAGGTAAGCCTACAGGAATATGGGCTCTGCGTTTAGCCTCAGCTTAGGAGACATTTGCCCCACACTGGCCAAGCAACTCTCTTCCTGTCCACTCTCCTGGCCTTCTAATATTGACTGAGAGATCCATCTAAATATGCCATCTCACTCCATAGTGTCCTTGTATAAGGACAGGGCTACCTCCTTGTGTAGGTCAGGAGGGAAGCACTCTGCCCAGGGCCTCGGTTCACAGACGGTAACAGGAGGAGTTGAATTTGATGTCTGTCAGACTCTAGGTCCCTCCAGTCTTTACTCATTATACTAAACCATCTCTCCCAATGAGCCCCAACCACACACTTCTTGAAATTTCAGTACTGCCGGCTAAGGATCCGTATTTTGGGAAGAAGCCATGTAGTGCAGTTCCCGGATGTGAGCGGGGCTTGCACAGAGAAGGATGTGGGAGTACAGCTGTCAAAGCTGCCGACTCTGGCCCTGGAGATTCCAGCCATGAATGCAGCAGCAATACACGCAAGTTCTCATCTGGGCTCTGACTGTTTCGCTGAACGGCTTTGGACAAGTCCCACCTGTGCGATCTGTCCCTATCTGCCCCTTAATACTACGACACAGTGGAAGCTGTGTGTATAATGAAGCCAGCATGTGCTATCTTCAGCCGACAAGTTAGGACTAGCGATATCCAAGTCAATCAAAGACTTTTTCCGTACCTTTGGACCGGTCATCAGAAAATTGTTCACTGACCTAGAAGGAAGAAAAAGCAGAGCACAGTGGGAAAGACTGGTTTGTTTCTTCTCCCCAAAGTCACAGAGATCATTTCCACAGTATCATTGACAGAAGGAAAGGGAAATTCATTTTTGTAAGAAATGTTAAACCTTGTCACAAGGCTAATAACGATAACCTGCTCAGGACCAGCAAGACAGATGGCTCGGTGGGTAAATGTGCCTGGCGCCATTCCTGACAGCTTAAGTTTGATCCTGGGAAGCCACCTGGTAGAAGAGAACCAGCTCTTGCAGGGGTCCTCTGACCACACCCCACACACACATTCATACACTATAGCTTGTGTGCTGGGTTTCGGTAATTGAAGCCCAAATAAAGCTGAATCCGAAAAGTAGCTTGGTCTCTGCTTCTTACAAACTAAAAGTAGGCCTGCTGTATGGTTGAGTGCCTTTGCCCTTTGGTCTTTATCCCAGAGAAATGAAGACTTTTTTAACTTAGCAATGTGTATGTGTGTCAGCTTCTGGGCTTGATGGTGCATGCTTGTAATCCTAGCACTTTTGAGTTGGCAACAGGATGGCCAGGAGTTCAAGGCCAGCCTCCTCTGCATAGCTAGTACCAAACCAGTCTGGAGTACTTGAGACAGTCTCAAACCAACAAATAGAAACCATGTGGCCTTGCTTATCACACACAAGACCACCGAGCTAATGCCTTAACACTGCAACAACAATAAAAAGCCTTTCAATAACAACAAAAACCACCATATGTAGATATATATTCCAAACCCACAAACTGGCACATTTATATCATGGAATACCACTCAGCAATAAAAAGAATGGACGAATAAACACAATTGCTTGGGTGAACCACAAGGAAACTAGATTAAAGTCAATCTCAGGCTGCAGGGATGGCTCAGTCATGTGTGTGGCTGCGGGTAGAGATGGGATCCCCGAGCAAGCTGACTAGCTGGGCGGCCGAAGCAGTGACTCTGGGTTCAGTGAGAGAGGCAGCCTCACTATATGATGGAGAACAGTTGAGGAGACAGCCAATATCACCTAATGTCAGCGTTTGTCCTTTCTGTGCATATGTGCATGCAGTACCACACAGATGAACACGTGCACAATACACAGAACATGCACACCCCCAAACCTGTCAATTTCAAAATAATACCTATTGCTGGGTCTGGTGGTGCTCTCCTGTAATGGTTACCACTTGGGAGGCTGAGGCAGGGGATCACAGGTTAAAGGCGTGCATGAGTCACAGAGCAGGTTCAAGGCTGGCCAGGTCAATTTATGAGACTTTTTCTCAAAAAAGTAAAAATGGCCAAAGATACAATTTAAACACTCACCAAGCATGTGAAATCCTCAGTACTACAAAAGGAGGGTATCCACGTGACAGTGCTGAAATCTTATAATTACAGACCTAAGAACAGAGCGGTGTAGCTAGTAACAGGTCAGTGATTGCCAGGAGGCTGGGATGGGAGGATGGATGTGGCTATTTAGAGTCATGAGTCTTAGCAAAGGTAGGGTTAATTGTCCTAACTATGGTGGTCTTCACACAAGGGTACAAACATGGCAAATTTTCACCAGAATCTCTCTCTCTTTCTCTCCCATGAATATATGAAGCTAGAGGCAGTAAAATGGTATCTGCATAAGCTCTAAGGTTACTGTACAATAACTGTAAGGTGTAAACATTGCAGAAGGTGGTAGAAAGGGCATGGAAGCTTACCTTTCTTTGTAACTTTTGCAGATCTATAGTTATATAAAAATGTAAAATTAAGTACATATATGATCTGCAGTCTTGGAGATTTGAAGAATGACTTCGGAGTAGAATATCAATCAAAATACATTATCTATTAGCTTTCCGCTATAGGAAAGTAACATGGGAACTCGTATGGACTTACCCTGAGGGTTGGTGCCCCCTTGCACTTCTGAAGGCTGAGAAGGTGGAAAGCATCAGAAAGGAAATTGGAAACAAAACAAAGAAAGTCATTCTCTTGCTGGTGGCTCAAAGGGCTTGCTGGACTCTTCCCACCAAACACAACATCCGAAATGTGAGTGGGTTTTGAGAAACAGCATTAGCAGATTAGAAAGCTTCCATATGAAAAGATGGGAATTTTGCAAGAGGAAAACAAACAAACAAACAAAGAGCAAACCATAGAAGTCTACAGAATCCAGCAAAAGGAAGGCTTGCCTCTTAGAGCTTGGCAGACAGAACTAAGTCAACTAAAATGAAGATGCCCTCTAATGAGAGAGCTGTACCAAAAGACTCACAAAGAAATTCTTGTCAAAGCCATGCTAGGTTCAGAGATTAGTTTCTGATCCTTGAAGCCTGGTGCCAGAGATATCAGAAAGGGCAAAGAGCCCACTCTGTCTCAAAAGAGCAATCTTTACATTCGGAGTAACTTGCAAGCCAGACATTACCAGACCAGATAGGATAGTTACCATTTAACAGGGCAGACATTACTGGGAAAGAAGACAGAATAAAACAAAATATGAGTGACAACGAACAAAGCTTTGCCAAGGCTGAGCCTCAGACAAGGTTCGTCCTGTGGAAGAGTCTGAGGTAGGACACTGGGGGAGTAAGGGACAAGAGGACACAGAGAATAGTCCCTTCCTAGAGAACTTATAGTTAGGAAAGACCTGTGTGACATGCTTGTCAGCTGAGCCAGCTAGAGTGACAGGTTTGGTCCATGTGACTGCTTTACTTGTATGTAAAATACTCAGCATCATGAAAAGGCTCTGTGTCCTCGTCGTAAGCACCAAAGCAGGATAGTCTTAGTTTTGATTAATGAGACAGTGGTGTGACGTCCTTTGAGTCAGTAAAAACAAAGATTTCCGAAGACACAGTGGATGAGCGCTATGGGAAGATGGAAAGAATGAAGAGCGGAGGCTATAGGTGTTGTTACGGGCTAGATATCATCTAGAGACAGTCACATGCCTGAAGGGAAGATGCTGCTAATGAACATGGAAGGTGCAGAGGCTGTTTAACTAGGGGTAGCTTCTCTGTGGGTGGGGCATGATGTACACTCTCAGAAGCCTCCTCTGAAAGTAACCTTCCCAGTCCCCACAAGGCTGTACAGCTGCTGCTGCCACAGCCTGGACTGAGCACCATTTGAAGGGTTTTTCACATCTTCCTGGAACTTCCCAACCACTCTCAGACCTTTTTGTTCAATCTAGAGACTTGCATGTTCAGCTATATCCTTGATTTGGTAGACATCCAACTTAACTTGCCTCAAGATGAACTCTTGCTCCATTGCCACCCTAACCTACCCCATCAGTGGTCTCTTCAACTCAGATCGGGAAAGCCCCTCCTTGCCAAAATAAAAATCCCAGAAAGGCATTTTTCACTTTTTTTTTTTTTCTATCCTGTGGTCAGTCTGCCCTCAAATCTTGCGGACTGCAGCTCCCAATATAACCAGTTCTCAACATCTCCACTAACACTACTCTGGTTTATGCCCTCACCGTCTCTTGTCTGGATTGTCCAGACAGCCCATCAATTAGTAGGCTATGGTGGTGCACACCAATAACTCCAGCACTGTGAGGGTGAGTTCGGAGAATTTTGAGTTCCAGTTTTATAAAAAGCTTCTTCAATTCAGCAACATCAAAAACAGCTTGGTTTAAAACCGGGCACAGGACTTGAATAGCCATTTCCCAGAGAAGATGTGCAAATGGCTAATAAGCACATGGGAAGATACTCGGTGTCATTAGTCACCTACGAACACAAATCACAGAAATCCATGCCCCCTATGGTAGCTAGACTGAAATCAGCAAACTGGATGGGGGCCTTTGAGCCCACTCCGGAGCACTTGGGAGGCAGAGGCAGAGGATCTCTTTGGGTTCAGGGACAGCCTGCTCTACACAGTGAGTTCCAGGCAGCCAGGGCTAGGTAGAGAGACTGTCTCAAAAAAAAAAAATGAATGAATGGATTCGTGAATGAATAAATGAATGAGTGAATGAAACACTGATAAAAACTCAAAGCAGCCGGAATCCTCGTATGTTGCCAGTTAGATTATAACAAAGTGCAGGTGCTTTTGAAAATTGTTCAGCAATTCCTCCACAGCGTAAATAGGACATGGCAGTTCTACTCCTAGGCATACATATATTCAACAGAACGTATGCGGTGTGTCTATAGCAGTATTAGTTAGAATGGCCCCAAACTAAAACTGCCCACATGTCTAGCAGCTAACGAATGGGTGCACGCCACCTGGTAAATCCATGGTAAAAGATTACCTGATCATGAGAGTAAATGCTGCAAACAGACGAGCATCACTCCAAGTGAATGACCAAGTGCTGGGTGAACTCCTGCTCTTGATTTTACAAGAAATGTCCACGCATGGAGAACCCCTGCACAGACGTAGCCCACAGCAGCTCCCTCTCCAAGTGGGTTCCCTAGTAATGGGAACAGGGACTGTCTCTGACATGAACTGATTGGCCTGCTCTTTGATCACCTCCCCCTGAGGGGGGAGCAACCTTACCAGCCCACAGAGGAAGACAATGCAGCCAGTCCTGATGAGACCTGATAGGCTAGGGTCAGAGGGAAGGGGAGGAGGACCTCCCCTATCAATGGACTTGGGGAGGGGTATGGGAGGAAATGAGGAAAAGAGGGGATGGGGGCTACAACTGGGATACAAAGTGAATAAACTGTAATTAATAAAATAAATACATTTTAAAACTTAATTTGCAACAAAAAGAAACATCCAGAAAAGACCCTTATTATTTTTTTAAGACTTACTTTTTAAAAATTTTATGTGCATTGGTGTTTTGCATGTACATCTGTGAAGGTGCCAGATGCCCTGGAATTGAAGCTACAGACAGTTGTGAGCTGCCATGTGGTGCTGGGAATAGAACCCTGGTCTTCTGGAAGAAACAGCCAGTGCTCTTAAGCACTGAGCCCCTAGAAAAGACCATTCTATTGAAACTGAAATTAGATTGGCAGCTATCAGGGGCACAGGGGAGAATACAGGGGCATGACTGCTAACAGAAAGGGGGTTTCTTTCAGAGTTAATAAAAATCAGAAATGGATTG